TTAAAAAAAGGGGAGCGCACCCCGACTTCCCTGGATCACATGGGCTGCGGGGGGCGGGAGGATCGGGGAAGGGGGAGGCGCGGGGAGCTCGCCGCCGCTCCCCACCCGGGCCCGGGAGAAGACGCCCCCCTCCCCCTGTTCGGCCTCTCCATTCAAGTTCGCTCGCGGTCCCCTGCCGCCGCCGGGACCTGGGGATGGCACTCGCCGCYCGCCCTGGTCTGCGCTCAGTTTCAAGCCACCGCGCAAAAATTTAGGTCAAGGACGTAGGGAGCAAGCCCACACCCTGGCGCTCCTCGGGCGGCTCCCGAGACCCCCCCCACCCCCCAGGATCTGGGGGACTCCGGGATGGCGGAGACCCTCGGGCACAAACACCAGCCACAAGTTTTATTTTCCCTTCGCGCTGCAAGTTCGCTGGCTCGCTCGCTCTCCACACCGGCACGTCTGGTGCGGCTCCCCGCCCTTCCCCGGCGGAGGTACSGATCTGTACCGGGGAAAGGTTATTTTGGAACTTTGAGAAACGGACGCGATTCCAATGGCGAGAAAGTGCCCAGGAAAGAGTTTCCGCGTTAATCGCACAGCGTTTTAAAAATATAATAAAATCGGTTTTATAGGGGTCAAGGTCAAATGATCGGGATTCAGAGCCAGTGTTTGTACCTAGTGAGAAGTAGTTTTGGAGCGACTCTGGGATGGCTGGGAAGGTAGTTATTTCAGGAAACCCCTCTCCAACCCGTCCGTTATAATATATTTTATTCTTTCTCAAGTTACCCAGGCTTTATATGCTGAGATAGTAAAATGCATGAGATTGAAATAGCCCAAGACCTCAAGACCTGGGGAGGTCATTGGGGAAGCAGAAGGCTTCAGACACACACACACCCACAGAAGCATTATGGCACAGCATAGATCCAGGCACACAGTAGGTGCCTAATAAATGCTTGATAATCCCCCCCACCCCTTGCTCAATGGAAAACCTCAAAACACGATGTTTGTAGCTTCCCAAAGGCATCGCACATTTCTCCAGCAGATTCCATTTAAAGCTGGCCAAATTCAGGCTGGATTCAATTTATGGGGTATTTAAAACAATAAGGATACAATTATACTTATTATTTTATATTATTACAGTAAACTAAGTTAATATGGCATGAGGGGCAACATAAAGTTGCGGTTCATCAAATATTCAGATTAAGGTTAAGTATGAATTGATGCCCAATTAACGCTTTTCTGTTAATTTTCWTTAGGATTAGAAGACAATGGAATACACTCAACACCAAAACTGCACCAAATCTACTGTGGGTCTTTAAACGTGGAACATTTGGAAAAACTCAACACCAGCCAAATCCTTGGGTGTCCAGACTCTCAATCTCCCTGTCCTCTGAAATGGGATAATTCTCCCTTGACAAGATTGATGGGGTGGGGGTGAAGTGTTTGACGTGAACAAAAGTTATAGAACTCTTTCTCTTTGCAAACCTATGTGGGGTCACGTTCACAACCAATCATTACTTAATCCGATTTTAGACGGCACTTTGAGGCTTTAAATCATTTGCCATTGCTCCAAGCCGATTCTCAAATCATCTGGGGGTCTCATGCATTGAAGAGCCAGTTTTGATGATAATTGTTTATTATTATTCCCAATAACAAAATGAGGACAATAGAGCTAATTGGATTGTGTTTTGGGTTTTTACAACTACCATACTCTGAGCTAGAAAGGCCTTTCCTAATCCAACCCCCTCATTTTACAGAAGATGTCAGAGATGTTACGCTGTCAGGCCCCATCCTTACCTCTACCAGTCAGTTACCAAGAAGGGGCCTGGTCATCAGTTCATGCCCTTGGCTCTGCTGCCTCAATATTTATTCTCTCCTTTGCAATGGGTGCTGTTCTTACTGGTGTAGACCTACACAAGCTGACACTTAGTGAACTGGAAGAAAACCCTGAGAGGGACCTGCCCTAAAATGACCAACTCAGTGGCTGAGAAAGGACTAGGTTTTAAGTCTCCATCACTATAGTGAATTTTTTTTTTTTTTTTTTTTTTTTTGGTAGCAGGAATTACACCCAAGGGCATTTAACCAGTGAGCCACATCCCCAGCCCCTTTTTGTATTTTATTAGGAGCAGTACCTCACTGAATTGCTTAGGGCCTCACTAAGTTGCTGAGACTGGCTGTGAACTCCTGATTCTCCTGCCGCTGCAATAACATTGTGGCTACCTCTTCTTGYTTTGTAATTCTCAGTCTTGACAAATGCACAGAATCCTATAACCAAAGCCAGAATCAAGATGTGCAATCTGTATACGGGGTAAAAATGGGAGTTCATAACCCACTTAAATCAAAGTGTGAAATATGATATATCAAGAACTATGTAATGTTTTGAATAACCAATAAAAAAAAGAAAAAGAAAATAAATAAAAAGAAAAAAAAAGATGTGGAAGAGTTTCATTGTCCCAAGGAACACCTTCTTTCTCTCCCTCTGCACTACATTATTTATGATTATTATGTATTTCTTCTCCAGCTCACTCAAGGTAGCCCCTGCATYAGGAAAATTCCACTAGTGAAATGTCAGAACTTCTCCCTCTTAAAAGTCTCAACACTGTTGGGTAGCCCTGCTTGAGACTCCATCTTTGCTAGCTCTCCTAATACCCACTTTCTCCTGCTTTCCCTCATCRCTTACCAGCCCTTCCTTCTCCGACTCTGTCCAGACTCTCCCCTCTCTGCCTTTCCTTTATATTTGCGGGTTCATTCTAGTCTCACMTCTAGTTACACACCCTCCCTGGATGACTTCTCAGTGGGATGGGTTTAAATGTCACCTACATGCTGATGTCACTCAAAATCTCCAGCCATGACCTTCCCAAAGATTTCCAGGTTCTGGTCAATTTCTTATTCAACATTCTCACTGAACGAGTCAAAAACCACTTGCATGCTCTTTTCCCCTACCTCTGACCCTCTTTTAGGGTTCCCTAAAAAAGATCCCAGCCATTTGAAAACAACACCCCTTCCTCATGCAACCTATCAAGAGAGTCCRGGGTTTCACCTCCTAAATATCTCTCAAATCTGTTTTTCTCACTACTTCATCCTAGATCCCCACCACCACCCGAGGCCCTGCAACAGCTTTCAAAAAAGTTGTCTTGGGCTGGGATTGTGGCTCAGCGGTAGAATGCCTGTCTCGCACTGGTGGGCCCTAGGTTCGATCCTCAGCACTACATAAAAAAGAAAGAAAGGAAGGAAGGAAGGAAGGAAGGAAGGAAGGAAGGAAGGAAGGAAGGAAGGAAGGAAGGAAGGCATTGTGTTGTGTCCATCTACATCTAAAAAATAAATATTAAAAAAAAAACAGTTGTCTCACAACCACTCAGTGCACTTATGTATCTGAAAGCTTTCCCAGACCTCTTTGACCAGTCATGCCCTTGGAGGTACACTGTTAACCTGCCAGAACGTCCTCTGTGTACCTGTGTGATCATTTGCTTTATTGCCCATCTCCTCCACCAAGCCACAAGCTCCCATCCCATTTTTACTCTCCTTGTACCAGAACAGTGCCTGCTGGTACATGGATGACAATAAATCATTATTAAGTGAGTAAATGAATGAAGGGATGAATGAATGAATGAAAGTCAACATCTAATTTGTATCCATGTTCAGAAGTCAAATTGGCTGCAATTTCCCCCTTTTCATAGTCCYGTTCTCTGGTTATACTGGCCTCCTAAAAGGAACTGGTTAATGTTCCTTCTTTTT